CAAAGAACGTTTCAAAGTGAATACTTTGCCCAACTGATCAACATTGGTCAAAGAAAAAATTTCCTAAAGGTTAGTGATATAGTTTTTGCAATTAATGGCAGTAAAAAATGTAAAGATTGGTCTTTAGGAAAAATAATTAAAGTATATCCAGGAAAAGATGAAGTGTTCAGAGCAGCTAAGGTCAAAACTATGGATGGGAACATTATTTGACCATTTTAGAGGTTATTTCCACTTGGAGTGTGTGAATCACGTGAGTTAGAAATAGGTTAACTGGAAAAATAGTCAAATTTAGAAGAAAGAATGACAGAAGAATGACATAAGAATGACATAAGAATGACAGAAGAATGAAAGAAGAATTACAGAAGAATGACAGACGAATGGCATAAGAATGACAGAAGAGAGGCGAAAATCAGAGAAAATAAGAGATATGAAAAATAAAAACCCAAAGAAATATATACCAGCAGACTTTCGAAATTGCTAGCTTATTACTGGATTGATTTTTAATATTATTTACTAGTTTTTCGTTTACTTTCTGTAAATAAATTGGAGAAGAAAAGAGAATGTGGGAAATTAATTAAATCTGTTAATCTGTTATTAATGGAATTATATGAGTATTAAAAATCAAAATATCTCTGTAAAATGTATGAATGTATTTCTGAAACTGATTGATTAATTGAATTGAATTATCCATGCCAATTCTGTATAAATACCACCGTCCGAAGATAGAACATTTTTAAGACGGGATGAAAAACAATTTGATACATTTTATAACTTTTACGTTTACGATTTTGATTCTCTCATGTTCCCACATATTAAAAATTGTTATTTTAATATAATTTTTTCTATCAAAAACCGTTCAAGATGAGTATAGGGAAGTAAACATGAATTTAGGTTATTTTTGGCCTTAGCATATAATGAAAATATTGATGTTATATGAAAATTTAAACATGTTTTTTTCTCACCCCGTATAATAAAAGATCTTTTAATGTCATGTACTAGTTAATTACTACTTTTTTATCATAATTCAATTAAAAACTTTAAACTTTTGAATAACTTTGGCCAAAAAATAAATATTATTTTAATACACGCATATATTTTTTAAATTACAAATTCTATTTATTATACAAAGTAACCCTAAAATTTTACGTTCTATCGGATCCGGAATAAAAATAGGGGTGGAATTGACATTTACTTACGATAAAAATCATGCGCAGTAGCATTACCAAAAGGGCCAAAGTCTATACCTTCGCTACTATTGGTCCAATTCAAGCGGGAAAAATGACGTTGTGAAGGAGACGTGACGTAGATTAACGCTGAAGAAAAAATAATGAGTTGTAGCAAAGCTAAAAGGACCTAAGTCTATATCTTCATTACTATTGGTTCAATTCAAACAGGAAAAATGACGTTGTGAAGGAAACATAACAAATTAACGCTGAAGAGAAAAATCAAGGGCAATAGCACTGTCTAAATGGCCTAAGAGTTTATCTTCGCTGTTATTGGTCCAATTTGTATGGGACAAACGGTAAAAATCATGAGCAGTAGCCATTTCAAAAAGGCGTAAGTGTATATAAAAATATTTAGAATGGAAAGATCATAACCTGTTTAATAATCTTACCAGTTTTTAACAAAATCCGTAAATTAGTTTGTCGCCAACCTGTTATATAAAAATTTTGTTGAACACCGATACATCTATCTATGAAATTTCAACTGCTCCGTTCGAATACAGCTTTCGACCGCCCCGAAAGTTTTGTAGCTTAAACTAGAAAAATTTACAAGGGAGTGACTACCACACCCTCACTGGTTGAGTAGACACTAAATAATTTACAAAGCGTTCAAGGTATTTTTGACAAAACGAAAAATTTAACTATTTACAAAGTTTTTTTCATGAACAAAAATCACAATCACTAATGAAATACTTACGTTTTATACTATACGTTATTAATTTTAGCAAAATACTGTAGTATTGCAAATAAGGAGATTCCAAACGACAAGAATGTACAGGGTTTGCCAAAAATAATCGCTCAATTTGTAAAGAAATAATTAATAAACATAGATGACATTAATATTCTTACTAATGTCAAAAATAGTTTTTTTATGACAGATGACAGTGATTTAAATTAAATTGGGCGAATTATCCATGGCAAACCTGCAGTTATAATTAAATGCTCCTTCCTCTATATGGATATAGACCTAATGTGATACATAGTTTTGACCAATTACATTAATATATTTTTAAACAGATTAAGTACCTAACAATTGTTTGTCTTAATAATGGCACTACATATGATATGTCCTACAATATAATAAAAACAATGTGACAGTCAAAATGTTTAATAGAAGTTTTTTAAGAAATGCCAAAACGTGTCAATTCAATTTATTGTGTCATTTGACAAAAATACCCTATTTATATTAAAAAGTACGATAAATTAGGAAAACTGGGTGATCCTGTATATCTAGAGACGTATCCGTATGCATTATAGATTATTTTTGATGACAGAATTAGAAATTTCAAAGAAAATTTAATTAATCAACAAGATAGAGCAATAAAAAGACAATTTAAATCCGAAAGAAGAAGAGATAGATCAGAAACAACATAAGATGAAAACATTGGCAGAATAACCTCACAGAAAAGAGGACTCGATTGAGAAGAAGCAAAGAAGTTGACATAGGATAAAAAGAAAGTTCCTGTATGAAAGGAATAACATCATTAGATTCATTTTGTTTGATATAAGCATCTAAAATGGCCAAATACTGATTTTACTGCAAAACGTCCAAATCGATGTCTACTTATTTTGATCTTTATTAACTTTATGTAAAGTAGTTATAATCAAGTCAGATGGTGCTTAAAAGTGACAGCCTAGTAATGAAATTTGATAATTTTGGTCAAACTATTGGGCATTCCAAGCAAAATAGCTGCCCGTAGGTAATGATAGGCCACTGATAGGCACATGATAGGTTATCATATGGCAACACTATGGTCCTAGTGATTTGACATGGTCAATGATATAGATAGTTTTATAGATTGATCAACCATGTGTTTAAAAATGAACATAAGCTTAGCCTTGAAGTAAAAAATGTAGGTAATTATTTTTATAATATACTCAAAGGTTAGAAATTGGTTTTAAAACACATTTTTGCTAAACCGATTCAAATTAATGAGCACTTGTCAATATGGCCATTCACAGATGACCCGCTTTGAGCAATCTATATAACTATATATGTAACATTGATCCTGTCAATGACGGCAAGCCCACAGGGTTGCCATATCTAAACTGTCAGTTCCCACTGGCAACATTTTGACAGGTTGTTGGAATGTCTAATGCAGATTAATCAATTTTAAATGACAAATTTCAATACTAGGTGTCAATGAGACCAAAGACACGGTAATATATACAGGGTGTTAAAAAAAAAGTGTCACAAAATGAAATGGTGAATAGTATGACCCAAAATAAGCAGAAAAGTCTTAATAAATATATGACCGCAAATTAACGGTTTCGGAGATACGGACCATTTTGTGTTTATAACAATTTTTTATTATTATAAAAAAACAATGATATTTATAAACAATCAATAACAACATAGAGTTAAATGAGATGTTCAAAGTGCCCTCCCTCCATTTCAATGCATTGCCATTTGCACGACCGTACATAAAATGCATGTCAGCTAATTCAATATTAGTGTAAACAGGCATAACGAAAATTTATAAAATTATTCACCCACAACAAAATAATAACTGCAAATAGTATCTATGAAAAAACATCGGTAGACTCCGATAAGAAAAGCAAGTTTTTGAGAATGAAAAAGGATAATCAAAAAATGATACAAAACACAAAACACTCCGTATCTCTGAAACCATTCATTTGCGGATATATGTTTATTAAGACTTTTCTGCATATTTTGGCCCATACTACCCCCCGTTTTATTTTGTGACACTTTTTTTTAACACCCTGTATATTATTTATAAAGCGATTTGTATCAAATTTGGGGCAAACCTACTTGACATAATTTCAAATTGACACATACTCAAATAAAATAGCCGTATTCCCGGTTTAGTGGAAATGGCATTAAATTTAAATAGATCACTCTGTATATTTTGTTTTTTAAAGAAACCAAAAGTGTTTTTTGATTCTGTGGTCCAAATTAAATGTGACAGTGTTGCCATTTTTTTTATTTGTTGAAGTAGATTGTTATGAAATGGAAACTAATGTTCTAATAGCGTCAAATAGTCGAGAAAAGCTATTTTATATCAATTTAATTAAAAATAAATCCTTCAAAAAAAAAATAATTTCTAAAACGTGTTTTTACTAAATGGCAATTGTTGAGGGCCATTTTGCTATTAGATGGAAAATTTTATTACCAATCTGGCAATATGCACCATTTGGAACATTAACATTAATCATAAAGGGAGAACCACAGAGTTCAATTCTGGGACCACTACTGTTTGTATTTATTGTAAACAATGGATATGACTAAACAAGTAAAAACTTGTAAAATATATCAATTTGCTGATGACACATAAATGTATAAAATCTTTAAAAAGCATGAAATCCATCAGGCTTGTTTAAATATGAATACAACCTTAGTAAATATCTATGATTTTTCATGTAAGTATGGATTAAAAATTAACTCTACGAAAGCACAGACCGTTGGTAAAAACACTAGAATTATTAAGATTAATGAACACAGAATTTAACCTTGATACTGTTAAAAACTGGCAATCTTAGGTTTAAACTACAGCTTAAAATAAAAATGTTTTTTGTTTTAAAAACCTATACTACAGTAAATCTTTTTTGAATGTTCATTTACGAAAAAAAAAAAAAAAAACTGTGAATTATCTAAAGTCATTTGAATTATGCTGATTTGCTACTCTATGGATGCTGATTTGACAACGTGTTCAGCGTGTTCAAAATTCTTGTATAAGACTTCTACGAAGATCAGATCATGTGTCCCAAATCTTATCAGAGTTGGGATGGCTGAATATTATCAAAAGAAGGAAAGTTCATTTATCTTGTGTGGTTTATAAAGTAGGTACTACAAAGTAAAGCCCCATTTTACATTTTTAAAAATTTAACTTAGATCTTCTATACACAACCGTGATACAAGGTACATACATCTTTTTGAATTTGAAATTATGTCCAGTATGTTTACTCCAAATTGTTTAATAAGTAAAAGAGATAGGTAATAACGTGACCCTAGGGTCATTTCTGCAGAACACAACAAGGTGAGTCTGGAGTTGATGTCAGACCATGGGCGATTAGAAGAAGCCAATAGTATCCTAATTTTGTAAGAGCTTTCCATAGCAGAAACAAGGACTTTGAACGGGAAAGGTGTAAATTGTAATGAGGAAGACCTCGCTCCAAAAAATCTTGCAAATAGAACAGGATGGTAACCTTAACACTGTGATAAACAATTACGAATCTATCTCTATGCACTGGGGATCACCATATGCAACGCTAATTTTAAAAATAAAAATACATAGGGTACCCGAAAATTTCCATTATAAAATTTTGACCGTCATTTTCTTACCATTTTAGATATATATCATTCACAAACTGGCGGAAAACCAAAAGAAAAAACGTTACGCGAGAATTTTCAAACGAAAATTCCACACGTAACAGCAAGTTTTTTTTTTTAATAAAAAGTTAAAAGGTATAAATATTATACAACCAAAAAAATCTTCCGGCCTTCCCCCAGAAACAACATTCTATCAGCCTTCTTCTCTAGTGAGTATTGAGAATTCAATTTCTCGTAAAAAATGTATCTAGTATGACTTGAAAGTCGAAATCCAAATTATATTTCCACTTTTAATTTATGACGACATCTGTCATAATTGTCATCTGTCTTAAAGTCCAGTTTATATTGACAGCTGTCAAACTTAAAGAGTGCAACAATAAATTTGGATTTCGATCCTCGAGCTTATACTATGTCAATTTATAGAAACTGTGGAATAATTTACAATTAAGTTGTTTTTTCTTGTCAAATAAATAGTTAATATTTTTTATAAGCGCAGTCAAATAACCATTCTTATTGCAAAAAAACTTACAAAAATATAAATAAATAAAATCTCATCTTTCTTTCTATCTTTCTCTCGCAAGAACCTCTCTTTTCATTTGACTTCGCTTCTAAGTGCTTAAAATATATACAATATACAAAGGTGGATGTGTCTAGAACTTCAAACAAGTGACATTTGACAATGACACATGTGACAAGTTCTGAACGCACCCTACGTTAAAACCTAACGTACAAAATAAATATGACAACTCGCTTCCTTCGCTTTTTTTTTTCATAATCAGTCTTCTTTGGTGCTGGGTAACTCCGGACTCTCAGTCCATATTTAAACAAAAAAAAGTACCTCGTCTTTTTCGAAGTCCTCTTCACTGTTTGTGCGACGACCGTTCTTCTATCTTCTTCTTGTGTCTGATCTTTCTGCACTCTTTTAGCGAACAGCAGTAGTCTGAGAAGGAAAACTGACTTCTCTTGTTGGTTTTTGACCGGACTTTCCGCAAATCGAAGATCATTTTACAGTTCTTCCACTCGCAGCGCTCTCTCGCGCATGTTGACGTACCATTCTGAAAAAAAAAGGATAGTTTTATTACCTATTGAGTTCAAACCTAAAAGTACAGTTCTATGGATGGAGTTAATCATATTATTAAATATGACGAGTCAGTCCATTTAGATAATTCATGCGAGGAGATTGATCGACACTCAATAACACTTTAGTCGAATTTTCCCTAGATCTGGGGAAATTTGGAGAGTAGCTTGGCAACACACCTTGTGAATCAATGGTAAGTATATCCAACCTTTTTGGTAGGTTTTTGGGATTTTGGGTGCTAGTAGATACGTCTTTACATGTTATTTTCATATAAATATAAAGAACGTACCAAAAGAATTAGGCAATAAGGTACAAGAATCAAAATTATATTTATAGTACTAGTATGCCCTACAATTTCTTTGCTTTCAATTTCTATTTTTACCCTTGAAAATGATGATAACGATGTAAATACCTATGCTTTTCTGTCTAAGAGGAAATAATCTAGCTGTTAAATGGCTAAGGTATCCATCGATCTGAACGGTGTACTGGGGAAGCAGCGTTGCCATTTAATGACAAGTTTCTAGTGAATTATTGAGGCATACCTACAATTGATTCATGCGATGTGGTGTCGCCAGATCTATTCATCAAATTACCCTAGATCTGCGGAATAATCGATGAAAGTGGAATCAAGTGCTGCTCTATCTACTACGTCGAAAAATTAAACAAATAAATCTGGTTACTTACTTGACATTTGCAGGTAACGCACTTATACTCTCCGAGAGATGCGATATGCGGGTGATAAGTACTGCCATTCTTGTAAGGTCTTTCGAGATTATTCTGGTTATTGCAACCGCCTTCTTTGATAATCAACCCAGCGTTGGAAACCTCTTCCTTACGGTGGAACGACCAGGTGCTCATTTGGACCGAGTCTTCGCCTTGAGTGTCCGGAGTTTCCGTAACCGATCCTTTGCCGCATTTAGCCGAGTTGGACTCGATTCTGCGACATTTGATTTCCAAATCGTTGGGATCGCAAGTGCACACGGTGCAATCGTCGAAGCCGATCGGTATGAGGAACGGATGGAACCGGCTGCCGGACGAGTAGGTCATACCGTTAAAAACGCATTTTTTGTTGCTCTTTAAGATTTCGGGATCACCACAAACCGGACAACATTCTCCCGGTATCGTCATATTGTTTCTTGGACATTTCAGATCCGGACACGTCATTCTGTCGCAAGTCGTTTGTCCGTCTTGACAGAAGCACATTTGGCAGGGGTTTTTGGACACCCAAGTGCTGTCTTTCTTGTAGAACTTGCCTTCGAAGAAGCAATCTTCAGTTGGACGAACGACAGGAATGTCATAAATAAGTGGGACGTTATTATTGTATAGAGGTCTGCAAGTTACTGGCAACTTAACCCTTGTTATGGTCGCTGATAACAACACTGCTTTCGAATTGAAGTCCTTAATCTTTATGAAAGTTACTCCGCCATCCAGCATATCCAGCTCTTCCTTGGTAAGCGCTTCTAGAGGACTTCCTTCGACTTGGTTACCTTCGAAATCTTCTAGATGTTTCAAAAGAACCGGTGCACCTGGTGCGATAATCGGGTACATTTCTAAATACAACTCCATTTTTCTTTCGTGGCCAAGACCCGAGATGGAAATATCGTAGTGAATGTGACAGTCATTGTCTACTGAAATCCAGGCTAAACCAACAACCGATGGCGGTAAAGTATAATTTTCACGTTTGAGGAGTAAGGGGGCAGGTGCGTCTCTCGCGTCAGCTACCAGCTTGGCATTTAGATGCCCGTGGAGGCTACCATTGCCTACAGCTACTCTCATATCTAATCTACTGTTGTACAAAGGTTCCAATATTTTATGAACTAATCTATCTTCAGTACCTGTAAAATATAAAAGATGGTTAGTACTTAAATAGTTATACTGTTAGTTTGAAACTTACCATTTGCCCATCCTGAGTGAAAATACGGGGTCAACACTTCGGCTTTCCGTTTTCCTGCGGTATCCGTCAATGTTACTGCATTGAACTGCTCGGGTTCCATATTATCAACTTGGATACTATAAATCAAAGCTCCTTGATTGTTCAAATACATCCAGGCTAAACCAGCTAGATCCTTATCACCGATTAAAGTAGTTTGGAAAATTTCGCAAGTGATTTTCGTAATGACATTCCCGCTTAATCTTAACGCGTTTGGTTCTGATACCGACGAGACTGTTAGTAGCACTCTACCTCTGGACAACGACCGTAAATCTGCTAGAGATACCGGGGAACTAAGTTCAATTAAGTTTAGATCAGAAGCTGGTTTGCGGACTTTGATGTTCTCTTCTAAAAGGATCTGCCTCTTCTCGTCTAAACATAAAATTACGTTTATTGGTACTTCAGAGCTTTCTTGGGTGGTGAAGAGCCCGTTGAAGGCTACCGCTATGTGAATGGATGGTGATGGTGTCGACGATGTTGATACTATAGCCATTCCACCGGATCCAGCCATTTTAGCGGAATCAGTACCTGGTGCTGGTTCTAATAAAGAGCTGAATTGTTCGCTTGCTAGAGATATATAATTTGTCAACCTTCCACTTAAAGTGAATTCGGAATCTTTAGTACCCCATATTAGGACCACGTACATTTTTTCGTTCTTCAAGAGCCTGTAATGGAGAAAATAAATAAGTTTCCCTAATATTGGAAACATTTAACAAAACCTACCTTCTGTAATCTCTTGGTAATCTCCTCCATATTCCACAGACTTTCCTGGTAGCGTTCTGGTAAAGACTGTTTACCAAACCGCCGGCATGCGACAAAGTAAATTCTTCCAAAATATTTCCTTGGCTATCCAGAAAATGCAGAGATCGCGGCCTGGCAGCTTTCTCTGATATGTAAAACGAATAATGAAGGTTTTTCTTGTGGAAAGTAAATCTACCAGTCGCTACAACGTTGTTTTTATTCAAATCGTTAGAACTCGTGTCGTTTTTAAGATCCAGTGAAGATCTGCCAGTCAGAAGAGCTGCATAATCTAAAATAAAAGAAATCATAGCGTGATTAAATCGGGTAATCTTGTAGGTCTTTTGATTTTTTCTTAATACTGTAAAGGCCGATTTCATAATGAATAACTCTATAAGATCTTATGGACTTATGTCATTGTCCCTTAGTTAATGGTTCTAATACGAGAAAACAATAAAGGTCATGCCTGGTCAACCAGGTGGCCGTTTTTTTTTTCGGTAAAGAAGTGAAAGTTACTTACGATTTATTCTTCTTTCCTCCTCCTCGATTTTATTTTGTGGGACGATGTCTTGTACAAAGTTGGTTTCATCTGCAAGAAAAAAGAAGTTCTAAAATTAATTTTACGGCGATTTGTAGGTGTATCTATTAAGGTGGGCGACCGTATGATGTTAATTAACAGTTCAATATTACCGATCGGATATGGTAACGATTGTAACGGGCACATTTGTGATGCTAATGGGCCAGTGGCGTAACGATGGTCATTTTGCGGGTCCAATGAGAAGCTCGTTTAGTTTGGTGTTTAATAATCAGCATCTAATACTGTTTGTTTAGTGTAAGTGATGAAAAAGAGAACGGGGGGTGAAGGGTATTAGAGTTATATTCAGTAGCGTCCTTATGTTTAGGAGTTTCTTTTTAATTCAGTTGACAACGTTGAGTTAAATAAATACATGTATATCGTTATTGTATAAAAGGAAATATTTTGTATCTTCATTTTCACAATTGCCTGGTCATTATAGCACCAGCACAGTTTTCGTGTTCAATTTTCGACTTCGACTGACATATAATTTTACAGTATGGTGCTAAATTCAATTGGAAGGAGTAGAATCTCGATTTGAATTTTTTGTGACCTTAGTCGGGCTTTTGACTGTGTTTAACATGACATTTTAAAAGATAAACTATATAAATATGGAGTGATAGGAACAGCTCATCAGTTCACCTCTTTATTAAATGATAGACTTCAATCTCCTTAAAATCTTAAATAATATGTATATATTTACATTTACTCAAATGACGAATAAAAATGGTGTCCCACAAGGATCAATATTGGGCCTTCTACAATTTGTTCTATATATCAATTAATTACCTCTTGTTTACCGAAGTTTTTTTATATGCTGATGATTCGACATTATTATTGAGTGACAAATGTTCACATTTTCTTAAAACTAACATCTTAAATATTCTTTTACAATTCTCGGCTTGATCTGGTGATCATGTTTTGTTGTTCAATATTAATAAAACAAACTACATGTAAGTTCATACTAGTCAAAGGCTGAGGTAATTTGGATATTTTCCATGTACACAATTTTAGTGGAAATTAGAAAAAATATTGCATGTAACACGTTACGAAATATCGTTTTATATAACGAGTGCATATTTGCGGGACGAGAAGTGCAAACCACCCTATAAGTAGTGTGTGTTTAAAAGTATATGAAATAATAAGCAAACAAAACGAAAGATAAGTGTGAAAAATATGAAATTACAATTTCTTCAGTCTAAACCTGCTGGTGGAAATGTCTCAAATCAGTGCCCTAGCCCTGTCTCTGTGACATGAAGCAACTTGTTTGAATGTTTAAGGGTTCGTTAATCATCCTGTATTAACAAATTAGGAAATAGGTATAATGACCCAATATTGTTAATAAAAATGTATTTTTTAAATCATTTTTAACTTTTGAGATACCCATTAATGTGACGCTGGCCAAACGCTAAAGGTTAACGTTTATCAAACGTTTAAGGTTAACGTTTTATTTTTGTTACATTGTCACGTTTGTATAAACATTCTGTTAACGTTACATATCACTTAAAAAAAAAGTTTTAGAAGCATTACTTGGTACCTGCATTGGAGACTTAAGAAAATGTCGGTTTAAGAGTACTATCTACGCTAAACTTTCAAATGTGGTTTTTATATATTTCTGCTTTTTTTAATACAGTTCTTTTTTTATTTTTCATCTATTTTAAAGATTTGAATTGGGGTACTATACGCCATGGGGTCGTTCATAGCGATTTCACATAAAGACCTCGGACAGAGAGGAATTTTAACAAAGGATAGTGAGTTGTCAACATTAAGTTTTTACAATATATCAGCGACAATTTATAATATAAGATATTTATGTATTATTATGTATTATTTCATACATTATATAGTTTGTTTGTGTGAATTAAAATATATACAATATTATTTAGCAGCTTTATTTCATTACTTTATAAAGTACATCGAAGTATTATATGTTCTAAAGTACCTTCCTCCTCACATTGTAGTTGATAGTTTATTTTGTTTGTAAGATGAGTTTATTGCAAGGTCAGAGAATACAGAGACGTGTAACTTAATAAGAAAATGAAGCAATTTCTGGAACCAAACTCGCGATTTTGTACACGTTTCTTTCTAGAGATAAGTAATTTCCAATTTATTAAGAAAACCACTGTATAATGTGTGTGTTTAATAATATATTACAAAATGGCTATAATTATTTTAGGTGAATTGAAACAGAGATCCATTGTTACAGCTACTTTTGTTGTTCATTAAGTAGGTAGATGAATGTCTGGACAGCTTTAATGGTAGCACAAAGTTACCATCTACTAAAAAAGTAAAATGAATGCTGAGTAAAAAATCTCTGCACATATAGTATTGGCAAAGGACTTTTGAAATGATTAGTGATTGGCTATTTCTTACATACACCAACCTGTCATACTTCATTCCCTTTTAGAAGGCATGGCATATAAATCTATTGATCTTGATGAACCTAGGAGGAGTTAGTAGGGAGGTGTACTGAATGGGTCTAGCAGCTTTTATATAGTTTAATATATAGTGAAACAATAGTTTTTGTTTCTCCTGTAAATTTGTATAGAAAAACTATTTATTTCTGAATCCATGTTTGAATTTCCCGCCCTAAAGCATTTTTAATTTTCCCGCTATTTACTAGTGGCGCCATCATAGACTGGTTGTGGTTACAATCGCCCAAACAACTTTTACCGAACAAGAAAAATACATTGAGTTACACGTCTCGCTGGATTGTCTCTGGCATGGATATAATCGCGAACAAAAGTTTATGTTGAATGCTTGGTTGGATGTTTTTGTAATACTTCTTTTTTTTTTCCTCATTTGTATTGCCTATTTCACTGGATTTTTATATGCGGACTTATAAATGATATATTACATTGTAAACATTTATAATTTGAAACATTTGTTTGTACCTTTAAAACCTAAAAATGGTTGGCCTCGTAAAAGAATGTTAAAATTATAAAATTTTATTTCCAGATTCACAAAAGTTTTAATATTTCCTCCATGTTCGAATTGATCGAAGATAAACTATAGAATAAACGCGAAAACTTACAAGTACACAAGTGCCATTCAGTTGTGTGGGTACATCATTCCGAGATTGCAGATAGACGTTAGTGGGTTTATTCTCACCATTGAAAACGCAGTCGTAGACAAAAAAATGTTAACGATGCTCTTAAGTGCCCGTTTTATTACCTGTCAGTAGCGATTCTACCTTTAAGTACGCCCATGCCTATCTGTTCGCGATAACGACCATTTGAAACGTAATTTTTCCTATCAATGAAAATTAAAATCCAACCATGAATGGACCGGCAAGCGCTCGGGCGTACCTAGTCGCCGACGAGACGTTAATTGATAGAGAACGAAGAGAAAAAATAAGATGGACTGTTATTTTTGCAATGGTGGCCATTATATTATAACAGAATGAAAAGGAAGAGATACATTTTGATGTTCCTAATACTGTTAAATTAGGAAAATTAATTACATATTGGTTTCTAATATGATTTAATTAAATTATTTGGTGGATATGGACCCACTAACGAAAATGTACAAATATTAAAAATTATTTTAGGTTATTAAGAAAATATAATTAATTTAAAAATAATTTATGACTTTTACTAATTTATTTAATTTTTCTCCATCTGAGATTCGAACTTGAGTCTTCCGTATGGAAGGCAAGAACGCTGACCACAGGACCATCTACGCGTTTATTTTTTGTGACTTAATACTCTTAACTAAATTGAATTCATATAGTTTTATTTAAATTAACAAATTATTTATAATTATAGACAAAATTAAAATTGAAATTCTATTATTTATCGATTCTACACAAGAATAACTCAATTTAATGTATATTTAATCTCAATTAGTTTGACAGAATTGTCACATTTAAAATTTTAAAAATAATAGCAGTCGGTTGATCAAAATATGAACGGTGATTGGTGGGTTTAATTTTTTTGCAATGTTCTCACTACCTAGAATGGATATGAAATATATTCGTTCAGTTAAAGGCAATAGCATACTTTTTCGTTTTGTAAACTGTGCGTAGATAAAAATACAATATTAAAAATATTAGGTGACATGTTTCACTCTTACAAAATAATCATATAGACACATGTCCAGTGATATCTTTTTAATTTGATGTTTAAACTTTTTTCATGGTAGATTACGTATGTTGGGCGGAAGTGCATTATAGAATGAAATGCCTATTGGTCGGAACTTGTTTATTCTAGTTCTCGTTTGGATTAGCTGATTTTTCCCTCTGGTATCGTATGTATAACTGTCTGAGTGACATGTGAAGTTTTCCAAATTATTTTTTATGGCTAGCAAGTTTTCAAATACTATTTGCGAAAACAGGGTCATTAAATAGTGGTCAATCAAATTTTTCAATAAGTAGGAATTCAAATTTCTGAGAATTAAAAAGTTACGTTTGTCTCTGCTGAATTCAGGTATTTAACAGTAGATGAGCAACAAGGCCACGGGCATTAATACAGGGAGGGGATGTACATCATGCGTTTCCGTGAACGAAGGTTCAACTGACAGGTAACATGACAGCATGACATTTGCGTTTACGTTAACATAGGTATGTACGGGAGACATTCGAAAAGTTCATCACAGAGAAAAAATATGCGTATTTTAAATTCAGCATGACTCTATTTTTTAATTGAAGTAAAATATTCTTTATTTGAATTCTGGCACTCTTAAATTAACATTGGTATAAATAAGCACTAACGTTGTTAATTTAAAAAAAATCAACTATTTTTTAGCATGCGTATTTAAAAATTTCTTAAATAAAAATTGTGGCATGCTTGGCTCAAAAACAAGCCCGAAAATGCTTATTTTTTTGCTTAATATGAGCCTTAATTTCTTATGGAGGGAAATATTCATTGGAGCATTAAGGCACGGGGAAATTGGTACCACTGTATGAGTTGACAGATGACGTACTTGACAGCTGGCATGCGTAGTAGTACAAAACATGCAATGTATCCGACACATGATTACGAATTATACTTTAGGTTCAGATTTTTGGATAGTTA